CATCATCCTTTGCAAGCTAATTTTTCAAACAAAATATTCCAATTTAAATATCGCAGTAAGAAATAATGTGAATAATGTGAATAATTTAAGAATTTCGAAATGCTACTTGTTCGATAATTGGATCTTTGGATGTGGTAATAAAGTACCGAACACGCTCATTTGGCATCAATGGCTTTTCCATTTTTGTGTTAACACGATCATGGTTCTTATCATAATAATACAAGAAACCATGAGAAGAACTAAGAAAAAGATATAAAAGTTAAAATCATACTTTGTGAAATAACATGAAACAACGTTATATTTACATACATATCTTCGCCTTCGTCCACATCCAAGTTTAATTTTGATAACCGATTGAATTCAATTTCTTCAAGTACTTGCCACTCAGGACCAACGTTAACTGACGCATCACGTGCACGCTGGGGCTAAAAGTGTATTAAGATGCAAATGTTAAATAATTAAAATTGATGTCGCAAATATTATTGATTTCAAACCTTATCATAATCTTTCCAGCCGAATCGTCTTTTAACATTGGCGGCAGCTGTTTTATTTCCAGTAGCTCCTCGACTTGCCACGCCTAGTCTTTGATATTGGCCATTCCTCTGTTGACGTTGTGGGTTCCGTGTACCAGGGCGGCTCTGGAACAATTAACATGATAAAAATAGATTGTATATAGGAAACTTTCTTTATGACTCAATACCTTTGTGCCTCCGGTGGTTCTATATGAACCCTTCTTTTGAGCAGCTGAACGATTATCCACGACAGAAAAGGAAGCTTCGTCCTCGGCATGTGTGTAAGCAAAGGCACTAGAAGCACCATAACCGTACGCTGTATATTGATCTACCGTACAGACAAAAGGTCGAACCATTAATATCTGGATAAAATGCACAAGTTTGCCATGAGCTTTCTGGGCTGGGTAACTGGATTTGACACGTGTCTCTCGTCAAAAAATCTTAATGCTTGAAAGGTGTTTCGATTCTTAAAATACATGTTAAAAAAGGTACCTCGATAGCGATAATTAGCTCTTGCTCTTCCGGTTGTCTCCTTTTCTTTCTGTTCTGGCGCAGACCAATCAGCAATCCGACCTAGTTTGTCAGCTTTGCTATAAGGTGCATATGGTATATCACGGAATTTTTCCGGTAACATCGCGGGGGAAGGACCCCAGCCATTTTCGTTGTCAATTATTTCTGGAAGTTTGAAAAATGGCTCATCCATTTTTTCTTTCGAAAAAAAAAAATAATAATCAGCGATTATATAATCACAATAGAAACTGAATACTGCTTTATGGTTGGTTATAGTGATAATCAGCCAATAAAACTAGCGGGCGCATCTTCATAGCGGTACCCTTATGAAATTTGACAGGGCGTAGGATCGATTTTCCGACGACTCCAGGGCGGCCTCCCCGAAGTTCGGGTTTGATGATCGTCACTGTATATTCTCAAATTTGTTTGGTTGTTCTATATAAACAAGCTGCAGATCAACCTGCA